GTAAATAAATATGGACCTAGATCTCAATGTCCAGTAAAATTCTAGTCACCACACCAAATTGCCTCAACCCCTAGAGCAGGGCTTCTCGACCTCAGTACTACTGTTTGGGCCAGACTGGCCAGATGATTCTTGGTTGTAGGGGGCTGTCCTATGCATTGTAGAATGTTTAGCAGCATCCCTGGCCTCTATCTTCTAGTAGCCAGTGATGAATTCCTTTGCCCTTGAGTTGGGAATTGTGACAACCAAAAATATCTCTAGACATTGCCAAGTGTCCCCTGGGGGGGACAAAATTGCCCCTAATTGCTCCAGCAGGAGCTAAACACTTCTTAGTCTCTTTTTGGGGTGTGTGTGGTAAGTTTCCTTTGCAGAGGTTTAGAGTTGGACACTGGCACTCCTCTCAGGCAGCTGGTATGGATGCTGAGAACCCCTATTCCATTATGATGGTTCTGAGTCGGCCCTTCTTCCACAAGGCTCACAGAAGGGCTGAACTGGCAGGCAGGGGATGGGCAGGGAGGAGGTAGGGGCAGTACAGTTGCTGCAGTTCGGGCTTCTGGCTGAGATGGAGACAACAGTTCAAACTCCAGGAGTATGACACAGGCAGGGCATGGAGCAGGCCTTCCCGAGATGAGTGTGAAGCCCAGATGAAATCAGCACCACGGACAGCTCCCAGGGCAGCCAGTTTGCAGACACCAGATTGACCTAAAGGAGTCCCTTCAAGCACTGGTAGTTTGGATCTGAATATCCTTTCCCCACTCACCTCCTCCGCCACGAATTGTCTGCTTTTTAACAACAATGTTCATATATATGTTACTAAGGTAACCTTCACCACTACACGAAGAGATTGTTACTATGATCCTAATGTTACAGAACTTGGAAGCAGGCTCAGGGGTTCCCTTGCTCAGTGTTAACACCGTTAGAAAACTGCAGGCTTCACAGTTGGACTGAGGATACTGGTTTTCAAGTCAGCTCTCTCCACAGTGCCTCCCCAAGCAAAGCTGAAGCATCACGTTTTCTATGAAGAACTTGCAGAAACTCATTATCCCGAATAGAATTGATCACTCCCTTCTCTGCCCCCCCACTCCCAGACACCATACCTTACAAACACTTCACACCTCTACTACACTCTATTGCACCTGTTTTTACCTCTTGCCCTGCTATGCTGTAAATCTCCTTAAGGTCAGGTTGCATATCCCTGGTTAATAACGTGGTGTCTGACATACAGTAACCACTTAATAAATGTTTACTAAATAGATTCAGAGGAGCTACATGAAGCAATTATGGGGACAGTCTCCCATGATGATCAGCAAGCAGATCATCAAGAAGGGAGTCCTCTAATTGCTGATTCTGAACTCTTTTCTATGGTCTTGGATGAAACCAAAGTGATGATTTTGGCAAATGTGGGAAACAAAATTACTGACTCAATATTATTTTCCAGGTTCACACAGCTGTTAGGACAATAAGTGAAAAAGAAAATATGAAATCTGTTAGACAATGTTAGCTGATTAAGGTTACTAAAATTTCAATGTTTTCAAGACTAGAGAAGAAAATCCTTGAGGGGGAAAGTATAAACAGCAGAATTTGTCCCTGAGCATCTTCATAAGGCAAGAAGTTCAAACTCTGGAGAGGATCTGATCAGTCTTTGGAGTTAGACACTGAACTCAAAGGCCTGTCAGGCGTCACTCCAGTCTAAGGAGAACAGGATCTCTTGGTTGACTGAGGAACTGTATTGTTTATTACCAGACCCACAGATCTTCATGCCACTTGGGGTTAGCATTTCTGAGTGTCAAGCACTGGGGACAGGGAGGGATGAAAGAAACAGTTTCAACCCTGAGGGCCTGAGGATACTGGACTTCCAATTAAACACTTTTGAATAATTGCAACTTTTATCCAAAGGACACATATAATTTGTATTTTTAAACATGTTTATAGTGGCTTATTACCAGATTCTTTGACTCAGCATAAGGTTGTCTTCAGATGGGCCACCCTCACAACACTGAGTCTGTCCGAGGAAGCATCTATTTCTAAGCCATAGGAAGGCAATCTAGGGGTCCTGCTCAGACTCTGCAGTCTTCGGACAACCTTCTCCCATTCCCAGTTGAAAAAGATTCCCTATCATTAGCAATCACTCCTGAAGCTAGAAGCCCAGGCTTTGTTAACAGACCATTCACGGTTTAGCAGTGGCCAAGCGCCCCCTCGCGACCATCTCGGGGAATCACGGAAATTTTTGAGGGCCTGGTTTTTGCTAATGGCCCTGAGGTTGCTCTCTGCTCCAGTCATACCTTTTCTCTTTCCTGGGACATGCCTTTGAGCCATGGCTTGGAAAGTAAGAAAATCTTCATGCCTTTAAGATACCTGGACAGTATCTCCACTAAGTCCATGTCCTAATGTCAGGACAGACTTCAAGTTTAAAGAGAAACAGAGGGGATATCAAAATCCAGAAGACACAAGGCACCTGCTTCCACCATCCAGCCAATTTTCAATCGGCTTAATAGAGGACTACAGTGCTGCCTGAGATAACACCGTCCTGGTTAAGTCACTCTCCAGCTTTGATCATAATCAGGAATGACTGAGAATCTGTCTTCTCCCTTACAGGTGGCAGGAGGAGAGTGTGCCTGTCAGGGCGTGATCATGTCTAAGTGGACAGGATCCTTGCCTAAAATCCTGAGTGGAAGAATGGAAGTCTGCTCGGTGCGATTCCAAGTCTCCTTAGAATCTGATTCCTCATATGGGCAGTGTGGAGCCTGGTTAGGTCCCGGGTCCTGAACTGGTCCTGGGTGGTGTAACCTAGGTGCTAAGATTAAGGCAATGCCTGATGCTGCTAAAGATTTCTTTGTTCCAGCATGACTTCTACTCTGCTTTCCCTTCTCTAGCAAGGGATGGCCCTGCTCACTGAGTGCCTCAGTCTGGATGCGTTTTCCCTAGAGAGCCGGTGGCTCACTCCCACCCTTCCAGCTCAGATGTTACCCATGGGAGAGGGTCTCCTGACTACCATATCTAAAACTGCAGTCCTGCAGACTTGCCACAGTCACCCCCTGACCCTCTGTTTCCCCTAGATCCTACTGCTGCCTGGCATCACACATTTGGAAGGCATTGCAGAGACAGCTGGCGGTTGCTGAGAGGGAAGACAGCCTGAAAGCTGGGGGCTGGCAATGGGTCTCAGACTTCGGGTGTGGTAGGGGAGAGCTCTGAGTAGGTGCCCCATTTGCAGTAATTAGAGGATTAGTGGGCCGTGACGCTGGTGAGGGGAGCAGGCCAGATTCTCCAGGCTTTTCTTTAACGACATCAGTGTTTCCTCACAAATCCAAACAAATTCTAACCTATCTATAAACAGAATGCTGTTCTAAATTGTAGTAGCTGTAGAAGCACTTGATTCTAGTAACTGCTAATCATCCTCACTTTAGTGAACATTTGATTGATGTGCGCACTTAACATCGCTATGGAATCTAGGTGTGTAAATAAAACTTCTTTAAGTTGGTGCAGTGAAGAAACTGGATAAGAACATACAGGATGAATAAAAAGGTCAAGACACCCATAGAACACTTGCAAGTAGACTCACAAAATCACAAGGACAAAGGATTGCAATATTAAGCAATTTATTGTTGTACATGTGGACCATACTGGTCCACAAATAAGTAAAAATGTAATATTAATTTCAACACCAAAAATCTACAAACTAGGTCATAAAAGCGAGATTGCCCTCATTTCATGTAAAGATTTGTTCAAGATAGGTTTCCATGAATAATCTCGAAAAACCTAATCTCTGGTAAAACCCAAAGAAAGACAATTGTTCTTTTCAGTGGAAGCTTCCTCAGGAATCTCTCTCTCTCTCTCTCCTCTCTCTTCTCTCTCCTCCCCTCTCTCTCCTCTCTCCTCTCTCT